AATCTATTTTTTGCAAGTCTGTTGGTTCCGGAAATAGCTAAACTTTTTTTATTTATTTCTCTCCCTCTTTCTTTCGATTTCAGTTTTAAGTTCAGTATTGAATTAGCTACTAAATTATTTAGTATTTAGATTAGCTGAGCACATAAATCAATTATGGCAAAATATCAAACTAAAAAAAAAGAATGTAAATTTCATGTGCATAAGTTTAAAATTTCATATATGAATTTTCATGTGGATTTTGAAGTGTTTATTATTGGAATTTATAGGCAAGTATTGGAACGACCCATACAACTATATACTATGTTAGTATACTAAATGAGCAAGTTGCTTTGCGAATATTTAACTTGCAATGCGAGCATGTAATTTTCTCATGTTTTTATTGCACCCTTTAATGTTTTGGTATAGTAATATAGTCACATATAGTTGTAGCAATATTCTAGAGCAATTATATACTTTGTTGGTATATATGTATACCATACTGTTATCATATGGTACTAGAAGTCTTTTTTTGCTACTTATATTTTTATTATATTTTTCAATATTTTATTATCATTTCTGTTCTAACTAGTATATATGGAGATTTGGTGGCCGTAGATTATGTTTTCTTGCTCCATAACAGGTTATGTTACTGCTAATGGTAGAGTGTGTACAATCACGTGGAATTAGAAAAGGAACAAGAATTAAAGAAAACAAAGAACGAGTCAAATTTGAATGTGAAATAAGTTATGAGAACAAAAACAATAATATGATCTGGGCAAAAATAAATGAATAAAAGAGAAAAAAGAAAAGAGAAAAGAAAGAAAAAACGAAAAAACGAAAAAAGAAAATAAGCATAGAAATAAAAAAAAATTGGGTAAAAAAGAGAAAATTCATAGTTTGATGGGTAGAAAATAAATGAATAGGTAAGAGTAAATAATTTTATTTTTGGGCTGGTGTTTAAATTTTGTCCCCGAAATGGACATTATTACGAAAATAGTCCTTGGAAAAAGACGTGTGCGTTTAATAAACCTTTTTACGGTCAAAAATACCCCTCAACCGAAAGAAACCAGTTCTAAATCATGGCTTTCTTCCATAAAATATGATCAACTATTTCTCCAGGAAAAAACAAAATTTTGCGAACGGGATTTACAATATCTCTTCGATTTGACAACCAAATTCGATAAGACATATTGTTTGCGAGTAATTTTTCTCTAATCTACTGCTACTATGTTTTCATATTTTTTCCCTTTTTGAGGTTTTGGAAAAAAACATATTTATACTTGATATTTACGCCAAATTAATTAATACAGTACGTTTGTAATATATATAAACGATTACTTGATATGTATTCTCACTTTAAATTAGACCTCTTAAAGTTAATTAAATAATTCGGCTTTTATAAATATGATGTAAATATTGAGTTCAAGTAAATATTTTCCATTAAAATATTAATCTTGCTTGTAATAAACGTCGGAGTGATAGCATATGTTCTCGTCTCTATGAGTTGAAGGTTAGAAGAGGACATGATGACTGCAAAAGTCATAAAGATATGACTTCCTTAAACATAACAAGCTTAGTATAGAAAAGTTCGAATTGATCTTTTCCTAGAAAAATGTTGAATTGTTTTACTCGGAGAACAAAGAGAAGACTCACTAGGAAACTACAAGTCTTTATGGAGTCTTAATTGTTGATTTTTATCAAATAGTATACACACCACGCTAGTAGAATTGTTTTGAACCACAAATAATTATAGAAACAAAGACAACCACTCAAAGCACTATGGTCTTGTACAAGGGCGTCAAATGGGCGGTCTGGACTTATTTTGGGCGGATTAAAATGGGCTGAGTCAATAAATGGGTGAATCAGTTGATCCATCCAAAAGTAGCTTGGGCTCAGATAGATCGTGTCAAATTGGACTAAAATTTGAGTTATAGTCCCACCCACCTAACTCTTACCAAACTTTAATTAATATATATTATTTTCTTATGTACTGTTTAACTATCAAATAAGACTTTTTTATTATTTTTTATAGTCATATATAACATATCAAACAAAATAAAATATTAGTTTAAAGATATTTTAACAAAGTTACTCATGAATCAATTTGGGCTAAAATCAACCCAAATAGATGGGCTGAAATGAGTCAGGTCAAGATGGGTTAAGTTCAACAAATGGACGGGTCAATAACCAGGCCAACCTTGAGCGAGTTGGACGGGTCAAATAAATCTGGGCTCAAATTACCACCTCTAGTCTCATATCATCCAAAAGTGGTCCTAACTGCAAGGAATTGGTCATGTTGCAAAATTCTAAACAAAGATGAAACATGATTCCCTCAATAGGAATCTTGATTTTTAACATAACCAAACTAAATAACTAGAACCAGACATTGTTTATGGCCAATAGAGGATCCTTGTGTTCTACTTCTGGCAACTATTTCAGCAGTAGAAGTGGGATTGATTTTGACCTTGATAACCACTCCATTATAATAGCCTCTCCCATATGTCATTTTGGTACCTAAGATTTTGAAATAAAATAAAAATAAAAAATAAAAATACTACAGTAAAGGCGAAGTGGATCTAACAAAAAGATGGCACGTCTAATGTGACAAGCAGAAGATCAATTGAATCAGTCAACTAGGAAATTTGTTAATGGCCCCTCTTAGACAAAAGTCAGTTTCAAACCCTATTTAATTTTCTTTAATATTGTCAGGTCATCAAAAAGGTAACTATAAGTAATTATTTAAAGAAGCTGAACGAATTACCAAGAAAAAATAAAGCACAATCAAAGCTCTCTATAATAACTTTCTTTGTTCCGATATTTTATGGCTGCTATAGTGAAGTGTTGTTATAGAGAACATAACATGAAAAATTAATTCAAAGAAATTTGACCGTTATAGTGAAATGATGCTATAATAGAGAAGTTTGATTATAAAGAAGAATTGATCCAAATATCCGTCTATCTAATCTTTTAAACTAAAAATCGCATGTGGATATATATAATATGTACAACTGTGCCTACTAGACATCGTTTTTGCTTTGCATTTTTCTCCTGTATTTTATGTTCCTATTTTTTCAATGATCTCCGTGGTGATTATAATATTCTCCTCCTTTTGTATTTTTATTATCTTGAGCCGAGGGTCTTTCGGAAATAGCCTCTCTACTCCTTCGGGGTAGGGGTAAGGTATGCGTACACACTACCCTCCCCAAACCCTACTTATGAGATTTTACTAGGTGGTTGTTGTTGTGTACATATGTATTTTAATTAATATATAATTTATGTATACCGATTAAAAAAATAATAATAAATCTGATCAGCTATTTGTGTAAATGTAAATACCCTGTTACAAGAATTACATTATAGTGAGGTGTGAAGAATATATTATACTGTCCAATATATAAGTGTAAAACCTTTTGTAATTGGTCCAAATGTAGCAAACAAGTGGAGTACTTATTAGTGGAAGGCGGCTATGGTGTATACTACTAGTACATTGGAAAATGGCTATGTATAGTTGCTTTCGGATCTATTTGGTCACCAACTATTAGACCCCACTGAATCCTATTGCTCGTTTTTATATCCGTTTCCCACCTTTTTTCTTACTGTTTTAGTTATTTTTGGTATTTCTTAGCCGCCGAGAGTTTGTGGTGTCACGCCTAAACACTTAGAGGCGGACCTAGGATTTAAGCACAACATGAGTATTATTGTATGCTAACTGTTAGCGATAAAATTTGGCGTGTAACTCTTTAAAATTTTAATGATTATAGTGACTTATCATCCAAGTATGAATAAAAAGAAGTTCTAAAGAAAGAAAAAATACCGTACAGAGAGAGATTTTTCGGAAAATAGGTGCTACGGAAAGGAAAAATATTTGATTTAAACATATTTCAAACATTAAAATTTCTAATTTTTTCTCAAATAAAAAAGGGATTGGTGATCAAAAGGGTGTTTAAAAATTATCAAAAACTTACTAAAGAAATCAAGATTAAGGGTGTATTAATATTCAAAGAACTAAAGAAGAGTCTCAAACTCTTAGTTGCCATTGTTGAGTCGGAGTTGACGTATATCCGCTACTTTGTCAAAGTGATTGTTGAAGAAGGTATTTTTCCGCAAAAGAATTTGTATTTTAATGTATTATTATTCATTGTAAAGTAATATTTTATATTATTACTGTTTCTATTGATATTAACTCTCTCTATATTATTATTCCCTTTTCTCCACCTCTTTATCTTATCATTCACGATATATTAATTTCAATGAAATATAGTGTTGGGATCTTTAATTTGGTTTATCAACATTCTATGATTTTCACATCCATTTGTTTAATTTTCTTGTCCCTGATTTCAGAAAAGTGAGTTTTTGGCATCAAATATTGTGAAGTACATATACTTATTTGGAATTGTATGTTTAGGCATGGCCGAGAAGATGAAGCGCTGAGATGACTATAGAGGCATAAATGTATAAAAAAGTTATTTAAACCCGCGTAAACCCGCGTAAACCCGCTACCTGCCCCGTCCCTTATCAGTTTATTAAAAATTATCTTAACCCTTCCCGCACCGTATAAATCCATACCGCCTTGTACCCATACCGTTCCATTTGTCATCCCTTTAAATTATACTGTTATATAGAGATTTGATTGTAATTGAATTTATTCGTTTCTAGCTACGTGTCCCGGAAGGGTGCCACAATTTGAAAAAATAGAGTATCAAGGAAAATGCCGTGCTGAATCTTATTGATGTAGTCCCCTTGGGGGACAACCGACGAATAAAATAATTAGGTATTCAATAGTAAATATTATCATATGAAATGGGAAAGGTGAGTAAAAAAGATTAATTATACTAGCTTGTCTCACTAATTAGTTTAATCACATTAATATAGCAAACAATAATTAGAATAAAAATCCATGTCAATTCCAAAGGAGTGCAACTTATGGTCAACTTATTTTAAAAAAAATACAAACCCAATTGTAATAAATAAATAAATAAAAAACAATCGTCTCTTGTTTTATTGGAATCATAAAAACAGTATTTCTCCAAACAAAATCTATTAACTCTATTTCTCCAAACAAAATTTTCGTACTACAAAATTGACGCTCACAAATCACATGTAAACATTTTAAAAGGGTACAAAAATCTCTCACAAAATCGCCGTTTAAATCGGCTACTAATTAACATATGCCACGTCACCGTCAGCAATGACTCAATTTACAAAAATGCCACATCTTTTATCTAAAACAACGAAATAGCCCACGCTATCGAGCTTCAAGAGCAAAATCGTCAAAGTCAAACTCGCCGAATTCCTCGCCGTAGTATTTCTCCGACATCCCAAATTCCGGCAACCGGAAAAGGGAGTCAACGTCAAATCCAAAAGCGTTCACTTCACAGAACCCCAAATCGTCTAACGGCGTAAAATAATCGTTACGGAGAACTGACGTAGGCGACAACGCGACGTCGTTTTCGCCTTTTTCTCCACCGTCCGTAACAGACTCCGTTTCCGTTACATCCGCCGTTAATACTTTCGGAAAGTTAGTAACAGCGTCAGGACCTTTGAGCTTAACAGCAGCTTCGTCGTAAACAGTAGCTGCTTCCTCCGGGGTATCGTAGGTTCCTAACCAAACCCGTTTTCCCCGGGTCGGGTCGCGGATTTCTGCTGCCCAACGTCCCCACGGCCTTTGACGGACGCCTCTAAACTTTTTCCGGCGAGTGACGTCAGTATCCGGCGAAACCAATCTTCGTTTTTTTTCACATATCAAATTGGGTGATGGCATGAAATTGATCTCCGTCACGTGTCTCCTCACTCTCCGTACAGTATCTTGTCCTTCGTCGTCCGAGGAATCAGTTGCGTCAGCATCTGTAAGTATGATTCGAACAACTCTCTGGGAAAACTTAGAATGGAAATTGGATTTTTCGTTTTGCTCAGGAACATGTTTGTTTTTAGTGACTATGTGTTGGGAAAACTTAACTGTTTTTGGTACATCCATAGGAGAAATGACTGGATTTCTTATCATGGGATAAGTTGAAGTTTTGTAGAAAACAGGATTAGAACATTAATCTATCTTTGTAGAAGATTAAAGACAGATCAAGAACAGGTTCGAAGATGAAATTTGTAACAGCAAAAAGAGTGATGTTTGTAACAAGGAGGGAATGAATTTATAAGGGAGTTTTATGGAGTGAATAGTCACCACTATTTAAATAGTAAAGTGGAAAAGTTGCAGTGCTATAAATAGAATGATTTGAGGAACAAGTTGGATTGTAGTGTGGAAAAAGAGGTTTCTTTGTTGTTTTGGCGGGAAATAAGGCGGATGCATGCACCATACAACTACCGGTTTCAACAGCAAAATATAAATTTATGTCTAAAAAATCACCAAAATTACAATAAATAATATATATAAGCTAAAATCCTAGATCCACCTATGAAATAAGCTAACACCTCTCAGTTTTCCTGCAGTCCAAATTAAAGATGAAAGATTTCCTTTTAAGATCACGATTCTGCGACATGGACCAAAACAACTAAACAAGGTGAGAGAAAGGAGGTCTAAGCAGAGAAGATAGGAGCCTGCTCTCCACTCAAATATATAGTGCATGGGTAGTGTACAGCTCGGAAATGCCACAAATCTCATGCAGATTCACAGACGTACCAGTTTGGGGCCCCGAATCAGATCCGATCCCACACTGAGATATACAAAGAGACTACAACAAAATTTGGATTTATGTTCTATACAATAAAATTTGGATTTGGTTATCGGAATTAGGATATTAATTCCGATATTTAATTCGACATTGCATTTCTCTAAAGTTTGACTATTGATATTAGCTAATACCGATGCAAAATTTATACCATAGTATTATCTACCCATATAAAAGATGAGATTATAATTCTAACTTTGTTTTGAACGAAACAATGGAATACAATTCAATTGGATATTGTGCACATCTATTTATTTTTTTCAAATTACTATATCAAATTTATTTTTATAGACTAACTTAATGTTACAATAATTTTTTTTATACACTGTCAATAAGTCTAATATTCTTAAGAAAAATTTGTACTACAATAGAGAAGTTCAGTACAAGGGGAGTAAATGCAGTGTGGGGACTAAAATAGGTGAAGGATCTTCTTTACAGCTGGTGATTTTGGACATGTCAATTGTCAAACGCCCCCGCCCCACACCCAGCAACCCCGAATGCCTTCTCTGTCCTTGTACGCCTAGTATACTAAGCAGAAAGTCTGGTGATTTAAAAAAAAGAAAAGAGAAAAAGGAGAAAGTCTATGGCCTTGGATTTCACTTTTTACCAATTACCCAACTTTGCACCGTTTTGATTAATTCGAAAAGGAAGCTTCCAAGTTCGACGTACTATGAGGTTTTAAGAAGCTATAATGAGTTAAGGTCCTACCTTTTTGTATAACCATAATGAAATTTGATATCAGTACCCGTGGAAGTATGAGAGAAATAGGAGGGTACAGTAGTGAAGTTTCCACACATTGTTTGCTTACTATAAATACAAGGCACGTGAAAATTTGTCAGCCTATAATTAAATGTTTTACTTCTCTTATTGGGACACCCGAATGAACAAGAGATACTATAAGCAAATGCCATGGGACCAGAAAAGGCAACCCACGACATTAAAACGTCTGACATGAATATGATAAGTGAAGACAGACCTGTTTAGCATGGCACGTGAATCTACAAGCAAGCAACAATCATTTGCACATTTTAGTTTTCTTTATTAACCCCAATATAGCACTAATCAGCATACCCCCTTCCAATTTCAACTCAACAGTACCTACAGACAAACTTTCGGCCGCATAATGAAACTACAGCATCTGGAGCTTCCTAATTGCTCCAATATTCATTTGGTGCTCCTCGATAGTGACTCAATTCTCACACATATTTATGGCAAGCCGGCAATTATGACCACACAAGTTGAACAACAAATGTGTAGCTTAGAAGCCATATACCCTCATCTTTCCACGAAGAACAATATACCCTTCCAATTCATTTCGTCGAGGTAGGAAGAATCTGAAAAATGGAAAAAACTAAAAGCTATTCTGCATATTTTGGCTCATCGACACACTGCTTATCGTGTAACAACCCTTCACGAAATGGAGGGATAGGAAAGGAAAGGTAGCACAATTTCATCAGTACAATTCCTAAGAGTTAAGACAACAACCTCAGAGTGCATTTGGCTTCAACACATTAGAAAGAGTCACCACTAAGAGAATCATCTGTTCAACCATACACATTAATTAGCTTGCTGAAACATCAGCGCTTAGGCCCCTTCTTGCAGCTGTTGTAAATCAACTTGAACCAAGAAAAAAGCCTTGAAAAGTCTAATACTTCGGCACAATACACATGCAAGAAAAGAGTCAAAAAATTTAAGACCAAATACGGAGATCGATAACACTGACCTCCCACTTTAGTAGGGAAACATATAGCTACACAGATTTTCAAAAAATCTGCTTTGCACAACTTACAACATCACAGAACACTGAAATATGATCTCATAGGCTCATACAGAGGAGAGTTGGGGTTTGATCACTGAATTTTTGCCACTCAAAAGCACCATACGAGGTTGGTCAAATAGACAAAACTTGGGAAAGGAGCAAAAGTAAAATTACATTTTAGGTTCTCCCCTCACTAAATTCATCAAATAAATATATTCACATATTGAAAGATCTCGGTCTTCTTGGCAACCCAACATGAATGGAGAAGAGAAGTAAACTGAATTCCTTACCAACATTTTACTTTCATCCAAGCACAAAGACATTGCACTTAAGGGTGAAAGCAAAATGAAATTGTTGCAATTAAAAGTGTCTCAGGCACGTCCGAGGACACTTTCCGCATCATCCCATAGCATATTTCTGTGTCCAGCTACGAGCAGTGGCCTCGTACTTGGCCCTGTCAGTCTTGTACATATGAGCAATTTCTGGTACAAGTGGATCGTCTGGATTTGGATCTGTCAACAGAGAACAGATGGACAACAGGACCTGAAAACACAAATAGGCCGGTAAGACCCTTCAAATCGCAAAAGACAACTGAAAAACAAGAAAGATAACCAGCCAAACTCTTTGTCGCCATTTTTTAAGATGGTTTACTGCTGACTTGGTATGTAAACGGGTTTTCATCACATTTTGGATAATTTGGTAGGTATGTGCAAATAGAAGACTCCAAACAAAGGCAAAGATAACAAAAAATATAAGACCACTCCATTAGTCATAAGTGTTGGTCAAAGGATAGTACACCAGTAACAGCTTCAAGAAGGACTATTTGGCCTACTCTAAGCCATGAATCCAATGGCCCAAATTAGTTAATCTTTCTTTATAAAAAGAGAAGAGATCAAGGCTCAACAGGTCTAAACAATCAAGACACAGAAAACATGGACCATTCGCCACAAAACAGTATAAAAAACCACCGCTGCCATCTTCATATTGTTAAAGTTAGTCTACAGGCTGGACTCATTTTCATATAGCAAGCCAAGACCAGAAAAAACAAGATTTAATTGGACATAGACAAAGATCAAGATCTAAACCTTAGATATGGTCAAAGCTGGACTCCACTGTTCTTTAAGAATATCCAAACATATACTTCCATTGCTATTGATGTTGGGGTGGAAAACCTTAGTTCTAAATGCAACCTGAAACAAAAAGAATATCAACCTTGTGTAATCACCATAGAACTCAACACACAACTATGAATCAAATTCTCAGAATAGGCAGGGAAGAAATCATATTGTGCACATTCCACTGCTCTGCAACAAATGAAACCCTTAACATCTAAGAAATTACAAAGCCATCATGAAGGTAAACTTAATTTAGCAGCAAACAAATGTCAGCAAATAAACTGGATAAAACTGTTAATGCCCATGATTACTGAGCTATAATCTTGAACAGCACCCCAAGAAACAGCTCACCCTAGCACCCAGACATAAGAGAGCTGAGAATTCCTTCTGTCATGTATTCTCGAATCTCGATTAATGCAGGAAGGTAAACTTCTCAATGAAAAGCTTCAAATGTCATCTCAAGCAGTGGGAATGATCACAAGGATATGAAGAGGGGAGTAACAACCATCTAAGACTTGCTGAATTTTTCCATAGGGAAGTGGAGCTGTCTATGAACTCTGACTATAGTCCGCCATGTAAGCCTGCAGACTTATCTCTATGGTATGCAAACATGGTAATGTACCAAATGTCAGCATTTATAATGCTAGCATACTCCACATTTTACTAACAAGGCAATGATTTTGAAGGTTTTGTGCGGCCCTAAAAAAGGGAAAATATAGAGCATAGGCTGAGGTAAGGTATGAGGTAAAATTACCTTTGTATTTTTCACGGCCCTCATTAATAAATTATTTATTTGAAGATTTTAGGAAATAATCAACTATGATGTCAATCAATGCTATCATTACATATGACACGGCCAATATTAAGGTTGTGCATCCATGACAAACTTGGCTTATTTTTAGAAAAAGAAAATTAATTATATTAAATACCTACAACATTATTCATTTGTATTTGAAGAAATTTCATGCAATATAATGCTCTCCAGTTTAAAACAACAGTGGATGTAAAGGAGCACACAGAGATATGGACAAGGACACTCTGGAGCATAGGCTTACCTTTGGAGGCTTGAAAGGATAATCAGGAGGGAAATGAATTGAAACCAAAAATACGCCTCCTGCATAAGGGCTATCTGTAGGCCCCATGATCGTTGCTTGCCAGTGGAACATATCCTCAGCAACTGGACCTGTATTAGACGAAGTATACTACTTAATATCAACATAACAGCCATGTGATTAAGCACCCACACTAACAAACATATAATTGCACTCAGCAACTTAAGGCCTATCCTAAGTTATAAGGAAATCACAACTGCTTGCATGACAAATGCAGCACATAAGAAAAGAGAAGAACAACACAGGAATTCTGATTGATAATGAGATAGTGAATCCGATATAAATATGCAATACAAACAGGCTGTAACAGGCCGTTTGGTGGATTAGCAAGACGTGCACAAGCTGGCCGGACACCACCATCATTTTAAAAAATAAACATAAAAAAAAGACACAATACAACCAAATCTGCATTCAGCTGTAGTTAACTCAGAATGGAACAACCAATTAATAATGTCAATTCTTTTATTAATAGAGTGGTGCCGAATACAGCTCACGTGCACCTCCACTAATCCACCCAAACTTATTATCTCCTACCAGCACATGTAAAAGATGTCTCTGCTTACCAAGGCTTAGGTTGTTGACCTTTTCCGATAAGGAAGAGAGATCACCTTTCAGGCATAGTTCAATGTCTAAGCCTACAATAAATATATGATGAACCTAAACAAGAACAGAAAATTCACCTAATTTGCTTCTACTACGATTTGAACCTTGGTTCCCAAGATCGTTACTCCAACTCCTCGACCACTTTGGAATTTGGGGCCTAATGCCACCATTGTTATAGAAAACAAACATTTAAATCAAAATACAGAAACAGCAAATAGCTACAGCAAATTACTAACAGTTGTTCTTCTGCTACTAGTTCAATACTTTGCAGCATTATCCTCACAAAAGCAGCAGAAATTCAATCACAAGGACTTACCATATCAAGTCCTTAGCTATAAAAAACTAGCACATAAGCTAAGAAAACGCATAAACAGAATGAACAATGGAAAAAAAAGCAGCTGAGCTAACATACCAGCGCTGCATGATGTCGGAGGATCCTTCTGCAAATCCTTGAGCTCCTTCAATATACGCTTCGACGCCATAGATTAGCTCGTATAGCTTCAAATCCAAGCCCTAACCAAATATAAATACAGATTCTTTCATCATAAACCATAGATCTTCAAATTCAATTAAAGTAGAAAACATATTGAACCCTAGCTAAAAGTAA